AATCCATTAAGGCATAAAAAGCGCAACACAAACATTCCTACTTATTCTAACAACAGCTATTGTTTCCAGGAGGAACAACAGGAGAAAAAACCCTAACCCACAAAATACATCTGGATGTCTAAGGGCAAAGGATATAGCAGGGGATCTCAAATTCCTCCTTCTTAAGTAGAAGACTTACAGTTAAACAAAGAAAGTCTGAACAGTTAGTGCTAGATTCCAGCCTCTGCCTCTGAACACTGGAACCTTGCCTGGTTACTGACTCCAACTTGGATTTTGTCCTTTGTAGCCAGCAAGCAATATTTGATCTGGTTTTCCATACTTAAAGAAGGGAGAGGATTGAGTAGAATACTCCATACTACATCACTTCTATATAATGTTCTATACAAAAAACTTCATTAAAACAATGCAGTTTCTATTAAATAATTTCTGTCTACAAGGTTCTAACTCACAGGAGACCAATTCCTTATATCCTTCCCAATGCCCCAATCCAGATACATATAAACAATGTAAACTTCACTCAAATGACCAGTCCCACTAACTGAAAGTGTAATTGTTTGAAGAACTGGCTATAGTTTTATCCTATAAATCTCACACTGAGAGATTATGAAGTCTCAAAGCCTTTATTAAAAAAAAAATAAATGCATGCATAAAACTATGGCCTGGCTTTCACTCTCTGCTCCATTCTAGGAATAATGTAAGCACAGTATTACACTGGTACAATTTTGGCATTACCACCTTGGCTGTGAAGCATGGGGAAAGGGACAAGTAACAGTTTCATTATGTTTTGTTTTGTTTTTTTTTTTTTCCCAGAAAAAAAATAGTACAAACTGGGCACTGCGAGTTGTTATCTGCATAATTCACTGCAGGGAATTATGTGACTAGGGAAGCTAGTGGGGAAGCTGTGACCAGGGACTAATTAGTATCTAACTTCTGGCACAGGCATAAAAGCTCCTGCCATAGGCAGAAGTGGCAGAGGGTTAGAAGAAACAAAACCAGAGCACATGACCTGTTCTGGAGCAGGCTGCCAACAAAGGAAATGAAAGCCCATTGATTACTGAACTATGAAATAACAGCAAATATTTCAGACTGCAGATCATGGTTCACTTGCACAATGGTCCCGTAAGCATCACAGATTTTTAAGCAGGTATGTGTTAAAAATACATTCACCTTTTGCTATGGATATTATCAGGGAGGACTGTTGAATAACATTTTTAACAATTAAATCAGAGATTTAGATAGGTTAAAGAAGTAGAATGCAAAGGATGCTTTAATTACAATTTTTAGAAGAAAGGAAACCTATCACTGAGTAAGTTCTCCTTTTGGCATCAAAGCTGGAGTGCAGACGCCAGGCAGAAATATAACATAAACAAAATGATCTGCATTTTTTGGATCTCTATGAAGAAAGCTATTTGATGTATTTTAACTGCATGCTTGCCTGAGAGGAGGTTTGAGGTCTCCTTCACACGGAGCTCTTCTAGGGTTAACAGCAGTAAAGCAGAAGCACTGCCACGTGCAGATTACGGACACCATCAGAACACAGACTTCATTTATGGAACTGAGACAGTAGTCCATCATAACAGATATCCAAATTCTGTCTTTGATCTGATGATACATTTGTCACAGTAGAAATGCCTTTTTTTAGTACTAACACCTCCACATCTGTCTTGGGCAATGGCAGTATTGTCCTACTCCTCCTGTACAAGTCTCATGGACTAATAATAAAGACATCATGATTGAGAGAATCAAAAAGCAAGTGGACTTCTAGTGAACAAGGATAAATAACTATTCATCAAAAAACCTGAGTTACTCTCTAAAATTAACCGTTGCATTTAGTGCTATAAAAAGTTCTACACAGTCTCGAGCTGAAAAATTCCTAACAAAATAAACAGATGTAACTCAAAGAATACCAATTTGAACAGATGTCTTCCAATAAAATGTCTTGCAACTGACAACACAAATCCACGACGAGAAATAACAAAGCATACATTTCTAATCTATACATTGCCTACACAATCAAATACACTACACGTTTGTTTAGCAATTACAGCTGGTTTGGCTTTAGCTTTGAAATGATGAGTTGATTACAGTCCTAACATTTTCAAATCCACTCTAAACTAAGGCATCACAGCCACATTTTAGAAAACATTCAACATCTGCAATTTTTTTTTCCTGATAGTTGTTTATATTTAATGGCATAATTACAATAAAATGGTTCTGAATTTTGTGTACTTTATGCTGTGATGCTCAGTAAACTTAAGCTTGAATTCTACTGAAAGATAAACGGGGTTGCCAGAATTTTTCAGAATCATAATAACTGTATTTATTTTTTGATATTCAACATAAAACAAAATGATTGCAAACAGTAGATGCTTATTCACTTCCTAAATGTTGTGTAACCATTGCAGAAGTACATTGCTTAGAAGCTAATGATAGCATTAAGGTACTAACAAAACTAATCATGTCAGGTGTATGTCAGATTCAAGGCAGGTTAACTGTGTTCACTGTGCCTTGCTCTGAGCTGGTAGGATACAAGTTAGCTCTGGTGCACAAGTTACCTATATACATCAGTATCGCATCACGTCTGACCTGACAGAAGTGCCAGACATTGTAACACAAACTTAGTCATAAACTAAGTTGCATGTAATTGTTAATGATATCTGCCAATTTACCTCGCCAAATGATTACAGTCCAATATCGGAAAAAACCAAACAGTGTTGGATTATTACTACACATCTTCATACTTCGTGTCCTGATTCATCTATTAGTAATGCCCTTGCACCCCTCACCATTACTACTCAATAAGGAAATAAAAAGGAGGTTGTAATTTTAAGAGTCAGTGATTGAGCAGCAGACAATTTCACCAGCAGCTGGGGTTTTTGCAGTTAGCAATGAAAGGAAAGTGATGCTTCATCCTTTGGGTTTCTTTCCACATCGGTGGAGAGGAGAAAGAAGCCAAATAAAGGGCCACAAGTTGATAAGCATGATGTTCTTTTCTAAAAACAGCAGGAGCGGCAGACAGGTGGTCTCAGGTACCTCATTTCCACTTTTTCCAACATGGGCAAGTCCAAAGGAGGGCCCTTGTGAAGGAAAAATAAAGCACCCTGCCCTCTTCCTTTTCTTCTAACTACAATTCTCCTTCCTACATGCTGATTCCTTATTGATGGCCTACAAATCTCTTGTATCCTAACAAGCCACTCCTTCCTGTTTGCCTCCCAGGCAAGAAAAATCCCATTTCCTCTTGCCTATGGTTACATTCCCATTCTGACTCCCACAAAAAATTAAAGATTTTACTAGGATGTGCTGCCCGCTTTACACGTAGCTCTGTTCCTCACAGGTTGCCATGCAGCACAGAGTAGATGAAATGACTTGGATTTAATTCTCCCAAGGAAAGTGGCTCTGATTACAAATTTCCCTTTCAGTCATCTGCTTTTGTAGGATTCCTCACTCCACATAGTGCCTTCTGGTTTATCCCTCAATCCTACAGAAGGATGTGGAGATGGTGCCATTCTCTTCTATTGCTCTACAATGCTTCTACTGTTCTATTGTCTTCAAGGTACGGAGAGATTCTTTTTCCCAGCAAGGCTCCTGGTGTTCTCTTACTTCTAAACTGGTTCAAATGGGCCTGCTTTCCCCGTGAACGTGACTGCTCCCCACAGAGCCCTAAACCCATGTATATGCTGGATACTATGAGCATTCTCTTGTATACAGTTAGGTAGATATACATGCACACATGCACAGATACATACACAAGCTACTTCTGTTTCTCCTCAACCATGGTAAGAATAGCTCCCTTTCTATGGCTGCAGCTCTTTCTTGCAAACAGTTTTTTGGAAGGTTTTAACAAGATATAGACAGGTTTCCCCTACAAGAACTCATGATAGGAATATCGTTGTGTACTGAGCAGAAATTGAAGATAGTCAACATAAAAAAAAGAGAAGGTGGAGGACAGGACCAGAGAAAAATACCTTCAAATATATTTTTACTTACTCTTTGGTATTACTTGCAACAACACCAGATGTAACGTTTCCACTTATAAAAAAGTGATCTTTCAAACTGATTGTATTACTTAATATTTCTCTGAATTCTATATTGTAGGCAAAGCTAAGGAAAACTCTGAGACAACTTCCAAAATTGGCTACAAACCATGTACTCGTTTGTAACTAAACACTGAGTATAATGTAATTTGGTAACATAATTAAAATTGCCACCTAACCACAAGCCAAAACCTTGAACAAGCCATCCCCTTATCTGTGTAACTTGAATGTGAAGTTACCTGCTGGTTGGGATGAAGTTTGAGAGTTCCGATTGCTTTAAGGCACGGCAAATGCACTCAAATCAGTGAAGTCTTCATCAAACTCACAAAAACTCTGCAATTTTCTATCGCATTACTTTGAACTATACCGAATTGCTGCTCGTATTTGTACCAATATGTTTACCAAATAAACATGGTCTATATTTATTAAACTACACTTATTAAACTACACTTATTAAACATGATCTATTTTATTTTTCATCTAAAAAAGGACATTTCCTACGCATTTTTAACTTACCTGAGCTCTTCAACACAAACTATACACAGCATTAATTTCTTGCATCCATTACCAAAACTGCCACATTTGCTTTTCTCACTGTAGTCAGTAGGCTGAAAATACCTACCTCTACTGGAATATTTTGGACATTTTTGAGAAAACAAATACGATCCTAATAACTCAGTTGCCGTTATATGCAGATACACTCTTTAGCAATAGTTGCAAATTTTTAAACAGGATAAACACTGTATTTACCCACACAAGTCAGAAAAAGAACATCTAATGCAAAATATGAACAGCAAAGGAGAAACAGACGATGCTGTGAAGAAGAAACAAAAAGCACAGTACAATGATGTTATGACTGTTCATATCAGACACTGCAACTATTCAGAACCTTTTCCTTCATTACTGAAGCGGTCTAATACTTTACTTAACCACTTCTTAGGTATGTTCTCTGAAAACATCACTTACCATCGCATTTTTGAGTTGCCTCATTCTGTTTGTGACCAGCAGGACACTTGCACTCATACGAACCTACTGTATTAATACAGTTTCCTCTTTGGCAGACTCCAGGGACAGCCTGGCATTCATCAACATCTACAAAGACAAAGAAAGAAAGAAAGATTATTTGACATAAGACACAAAATTTCATCATGGCTTTTATTGATAGACAGAGGTCTGAAATTATTCTTTAAAATAACCACAGCAAACCCCAGCCCATTTCTCCACTTCAGCAACAATATAAGATATAGCAATAACAGCAGTAAATGACTCAGACCTTTATGCATGTTGTATTCGACTCTGTATCAGCTCAAAATGTATTGCATATATTGACTTATGCCTTAAATAGCTTTAAATATGCAAGAAGAGTACACAACTCACTGTTGGTATCCCATGCCCTCAGACTGTTCCTTACACATAGCCATTACAAAATGCAGATTCTTATTTTGAAAGGATCTCTACTCGTACATATGGACTACTCTCCTGTCCAACTTAACTAGAGACGATAAATCTTGCAAGATACTCTTTCTGAACAGAAGTCAAACTACTCAAGTCAATACAAAATAGGTGCTATTCAGCCAGCATAAGTTGCGCGGCAAATGATCTGCATAACTTTATTTACTGAAGTAGCAAGCAGGACTAGAACTTCACAGATTTCTTTACGCTGGACTGTCAAAGTTAAATAAATGCTCTTACAAAATATATTACCATTTTTACTTTACATCTTACTTTCAGTAACTTCCCGTTGTATTTTATTATGTGCTATTTCCAGTTCAAATTGTATTGGGTTTTTTGTTCCCCACCTCATTTTTTTAATGCACAAAACATCCTGTATTTCTGTAGGTTTTTATATAAAACTATCACATGACTCAATGTGTAAGTGCAAATGGGCAATTAAAGTAATACCAAGGATCACAGAGGCCTCTACAAAATAATCAGTGCTAAAGCAGACTGAAACTCTTTGTACACAAGGAAAGGGTGAACAGGCTTTACACCAGTGCATGATGTACACATTGTTATGTGGGTATTTAGCTTCTCAGTAGCTCTCTTTAAAAGTTCAGTTAATCGGTAGCTATCAGACAGTTCAGAATTAAGCAGCCATACTAATTCCTTCAAAACAAAATTTCACATGCATCCTAATGTTCATAGAGGAGTGAGTGCCTGGAAGTTTTGTTCCAAAACCTGTAGAAGCTCTTCTGTGACATTTCAGGGAATACTTCTTGTCAGTTTGCCTTTTCACAGAAGAAGTAAAAATCAACTGATTTTGTTAGTTCTTCACACTGTGAAACAGAAATTAAGGGACAGTGTCCTTTGCAAGTTGTAGAAAAAGGAGCCACATGGCTTCCAAAGAGTTTCTGCGTGCAGAGGTCAATTTCTATCTTCTCTTCTTGGATTACACTTCCGTATGGAATTCAATTACAGAGTTAAAGCTATACACCGCCTATTTTTTTAAAAAAAACCACATTTATTTCACTCCTTTCTCCATCATAATTAAAATGCCTATTTAAAATTACCATATTTTCAAAGCCTTTATGAAAAATATTTTTCATCTTTTTTTTTCCCAGATTTTTCATTAGTGCCAAACAAACAAAGAATTTTAACCATTACCCTATTTTCCATTTTTATTCAGTTTGCCTCTTAGCTTGCACACATTATTAAATGAAGCAGCTGGTAAACTTTATTTATGCAACAGAAAGGATCTCTTTCCTCTCCACATTCATGTTCATTTTCTTTCTCTCTACCTTTCCCCTTCCACAACCAGCTCTTTGCCACTATAAATGTTGAGAACAGCAAGATACAGATGGGGTAGGACAAACATATTGATAGTAGAATACAATACTCCTCTCCAGGAGGATGTTCATTACATCAAAGCCCTTACAAGACACTGAATTTCCACTTGAGTTTGTGGATTATAGTACTTCTCAGTTTTTGTTACTCCTCGTGTTCGTGCTATACATAAAACCTATGATATATGCCTTGTCTATTCATTCATTTTTTCATTTAAGCAGGTATAACTGCTCATAGTCAAAGGATGTGGTAATTTTTATTTATTTTTATTTTTTTTAACCACTGGACGTGGTTATAAGTACAGTTGCTGGAGAAATTTGCATTCAGTTCCTGAATCTGTGCTGATTTAGTCAGCACAGCACGGTGTCCAAATGTAACATTATAAATGGATTAAGGGCTTTATCAGAAGCATAAACTTCCTGCAAGCATTGTTCTTCTAAACAACTAGTGCTTGGTGTAATCCAGTTTACCTGGAAAGCAAACTTTTAATCCCTGAGGTACTTTAAGGAATTTGGACATGATTTAGCAACATCTAGACAGAAGATGGGTTCCATCATTTATTCACACTCAGCCCACCTAGTATCATCCTTCTAAGTAAAACTAATATGGTGTTTGTCTTTCGACCCTTGGGCCTCAAAATGCATTCATCACACGCAGTATGCCTGTGCCTTGTGTCATTTATTAATGCTTATTGAAATTAAGCCAACTGTGTCAGCATTTCAGTGGTTAAAAATAACCATCATGTATCTTTCATAGTTTTGTAAGTCAAACATGACAGGTAATAGCAAATTAATGGCAGTAGCTGCAGGAAATTAATACTTTACAAAAACAAAAAAGTATCACTGAAGCCTTGAAACGAACAAAATTTTAAGATCTATTAATTCCATTAATTTTTCAATTCCAACCCTACAGTTTTAAAAGGACAAATAAATGTCAAGGTCTGCTGAAGTCTGAAAAGCCAATCCCAATTATGCAACACAGTACAGTGCTTGTCCAGTGAAGAAAACACAAATGGTATCACTATGAAATACAAGATCCTGCAAATTATTTTTTTTTTAATATTGTGACAGTCAGGCTAAGGCACACAGGAGTTTTAGCATTATTAATTATCCATTTACTCACACTTTTAAATCCCAACTACATTAACACAATAAACAGAAAATTAGGTAAATAACTCTTTAGATAGAGTTCTATACATGGAGGTTCAATATGCTACAGATTAGGTAGAATGTTTCCATGTGTTCATAGGCTCGATAATATCTGGCAAGCGAAAAAAGGTTCTTTGCTTTTGCAGAGCTTTTTTCTGCAAAATGCCTGCAGGATTTGCATAGTTAACTTTAAACACGTACCTTTGAAAACATAGACAAATTCAGCTTCCCTTTCTCATGAGTTTCTCAAAAAACTCTGAAGAACCAAAAAGCTCAGGAAAAACAAATCCTCTCAGATTTTACACACAAATTTTGGAGAGTGCAGTTTTTACTTACAATAGTAGTAGTAACAATTACCCAAATACAAACTTTCTCTTGAATTCTACCTATAATATGTATGGGGATTTTCTTTTCAATGGATATGGCATGTGGGAACTAAAAAGTAAACTGGTTGTCAATATAACGGAAAACTCTTGGTTCTTCCTCTGCATCCTACATAACAGAAATACTACAAATACAAACACACAAGAGAAACAACACTAAGCTTCCCCCTCCGCCCCCCACCGCATTTTAATACTTATTTTCATGACAGCAGAATGGGATCCTAGATGACACTGTTAATACTGTCAGTAAACCAGACACATTAATTCCAAACACTAGATTACCTAAAAATTATCATCTATCACCCTCCATTGTGCATTTGAACCTTCAACTGTCTTCTCTCTTTCGTCCAGTCCACATCAGTGTCTTTAATATTTAATATTTAATGTACAGTACATTCCTACTATACAACAGATTTTTTGGAGGGATATTATCTCCCGTAATATCTATATATACTTAATGTCAGCAATGGTAGAAGAAAGAAGAACCATCATATTTTTAAAAGGTATTCAGCCAGGACTATTTTTTTCTCCTCAGTGCAAAATATTAACTGTCCAAAGGGGAAGAGTGTAGCTGAGAAATGGACTGTTGAGGCATGTAGGGAGGAACTGAGGAAACATCCAGCAAGGATTTCTGCCATTATGCTATTCTTAGGGCAGTCTAGCAATGGCAATAAAGTACTTTCAAGTGCAACATTTAAGTTCCTCCTGCTTGAATTCTTGGGAAGTGGGATGTCTGAACAGCTCCAATTCCTGTTTAAGCAATGACAGAATAGAAAGTGTTGGGAAAAAAACACAACAAAACCAAACCAAACCAAACAATTTGAATTTTGATTTGTTTTGCTTTTGTTTTTTAGAAGTTGTTCATGGTAATAATGAAATAACAGTACTGCCATAATGTTCTATACAAGCACATTACTCAGAGATAACTAATCCCGAAAAAGTGCTAAAGAGCCATTTAAGATACACTAAGATTAAAACAGGCATATCCTGTGAAGAGTAGGAGCAACTTCATACTAAGTAGTTGCATCTTGTCACACTGTGACATTTAATGTATATTGAGATTATGACCTATTTTCCAATAGTAAGGCTTGCAAGTTCTACTGATATGGACTTGTTCATATCAACTCCTGAACTAGGCCATCTGCTGATGTAAGCTTTCACTTCAAAAATGCCAAGCATTCAAACTATGGACTGAGTGACTCTGGTCTAATTGATATGTGCCAAAGATACAGTTTTACTGAATACCAAGGGGTTTCGTGGTCCTTTAATAAAAGTCTCTGTAAACCTGATGCCATCAGCAGAAAGAAAAGCATTAGCCAGATCCCTATATTTGTTTCTAAAACACTTAGAGAAAATATTTCATGCTAGTCTTTTCTATTTCATGAAATGAAGCCTCATCAGATAGGAGCTATCACACTTGGCTAACAACTGTTTCCTGAATGGCTAATATTCCTCTCTTGTTAAAATTTTGGGAGCACCCCCCTAGAGCTCTATCTTGACCCCTTTATTTTCTTCTTCACAGTTTACCTCTGTGCAGTCATACCTGCTATTGTTATTGCAGCTTCTGTCTATGTACAACTCACAAATCTGCCACCCTTTACTCGTTCTATTTGGATTAAACTCTGCACTCACCTTTCTCTGTCAGGATGAGTTTGGCACAGAAATTTTAAGAGCTGTTTATATTTCCTTGCAGTATTGCAGTGTAGTAGCAAGTACCTCAGTCCCAGTCTGTCTGTTCATCATACACCTTGGCTCCCTCCTAGACTTTCTACCTCAACCAATGGTTGGGAGAGTTTTCTGACCCTCTGTGAACAATACTGCTGTATCACTTTTTTCTAGAATTTTCAGACCTAGCTGTAGCAAAATCCTGCAGCTTATTTCTACAGACTTTGTACCCTAATAAGGAGTTTGGAAAGGTAAATAGTGCCAAGTGCTACATCCAGTCCCTTCCTCCAGTAGAGTGGTCTGATAATGCACAACAGAGTAGACAACATGCTATCAAGCTGCAAGAACCACAGAACTTAAGTCAGGAGGAATTACCAGTACTCAGAGCTTAAAAGGGACTGTACTGACTGTCGCAAGTAAAGCCAATGATTTTGTGGAACAAAGAAACTATTCGTCTCTCCTTTTCCATGCAGAAAAATCTAACTTTTCTTCATCTGTTTGTGCCTTACCATAATCTTGTAACATTACATGCTAACTCCTATTGACATAAATACAACCAGATCTTCCTATATAGTAATAATATATCAAAAATGTAGCAAAAATGATGGCTGTTTAAACTTCCTTTGTTCATCCATCACACAGACTACCACATTGTTCATATGCTTCCCATTAGAATTCAACAACTATGTTAACTGCGTAACTTAAAAATATTTGCCACACAGAACAAGGTGGCAGAAAAAGAAAACACGGCATTGTGCGCATGGGTGCCAAAGAGCTCCAATAATCTCTCACATAATTTAGATGAAGCCCCAGAAGCTATGCCAGGATCAGTGTGGCAGAGAAGTTTTCAGAATTCATTTTATCTGTCCAATTTTATCTTCGTCACATAAAAGATTTTGACTTGGAGACTGTAACCAATGTGCATGCCTGTAGTACGCTGTTTGTTTATGTCTGTTTATGACATTGTTATGAAAAGAATGTCTAAAATACACTAATCACTTCAAGATGAATAGTGAAACATAAGCTGTTATATGCAGACAGAGGCCTATTTCTGACATATAAGGAAAAGCGCAATTGAATATTTCTCCTCGGTATAATTTGGACGCTTTAAGCAGTGTAACCACAGAAAAACATGAAAGCAAATATTTGAAATTAAGAAAAATGAAGGGATTTATTGTTGCCTAGAACTAATCTAAGCATTTTAAATAAAGTACATTTAAGTATATAAAGTATTTAAGTGTCTAAATAAAGTATTTAAGTAAAGCCTTTGCTAAGATAATGCTGTGTGGAGTTTCATAGATACAAATTTGAGCTAATAGCTTCAACTGTAGTTTCAGGTCAACCACACCACTGTGTGAACGAAAAATCCAAAAAGATGTTTCAAAGTTTAATTTCTAAGAATTAAAAATCTTACAACATCTTGATTTTCTCTCAATTTTTCAACTAAAGTTCATAGAAGACTCTTACCAAGAACAGGAGACCTGAAGTAGAAATACAGCCAACAAACAACTGACTTTACTAGATTTGTGCAATTTTAAACCCCTCAGTGTAGAGGCAGGCAGCACTAAGAATAATGCTACAACACATGGGGTTGCTGAGAAGACTGAAAGAGAAGGAAGAGGGAAATGAAAGCGAGAAAAGGAGGACATTACCTAGCCTCTTTCGAAGCAGTCACGAGTAACTTTCCTGAAATCTTTTATAACAACATGAGCAACAGAAGCTGCCTGAATCAGGATGCCTTTCACAGAATCACAGACTGGATGAGGTTGGAAGGGACCTGGACCTCTGGAGGTCACCTGGTCCAAGCACCCTGCTCCAGCAGGGACACCAAGAGCAGGTTGGCAAGGATCACGTCCAGATGGCTTTTGAATGTCTCCAGGGATGGAGACTCCACAGCCTCTCTGGGCAACCTGTGCCAGTGCTCAGCCACTCTCACGGCAAGAAAATGTTTCCTGACGTTGAGGAGGATTTTCCTGTGTTTCAGTTTGCACCCATTGCCTCTTGTCCTGTCACTGGGCACCACTTAGAAAGAGCCTGGTTTTGTCCTCTTTGCACCCTCCCTTCAGGTATTTGTATATACTGATGAGATCCCCCTTGAGCATTTTCTTCTCCATGCTGGAGTTCCAGCCCACTCAGCCTTTCCTCAGAGGAGAGATGCTCCAGTCCCTTCATCATCTTTGTGGCTCTTGGTTGGACTCTCTCCAGCAGCTCCATCTCTCTCTTATACCGGGGAGCCCAGAACTCAACATGGCACTTTCAAGTGTGACCTCACCAGTGCTGAGGAGAGGGGAAGGACCACCACCCTTGACCTGCTGGCAATACTTTTTCTTCCACAGCCCAGGATATCATTAGGTTTCTCTGCTGCAGCGGCACATTGCTGGCTTATGTTCAACCTGGTGTCCACTGGGACTTTCAAGTCCTTTTCTGCAATATTGCTTTCAAGACCATCAGCATGCAGCAATACTAGCACCTAGGGCTGATCTTCCTCAGATGCAGGACTCTGCACTTTGTTCACTTTCATGAGGTTCCTGTCAACTCGTTTCTCCAGCATGTCAAGGTCCTTCTGGATGGCAGTATGACCCTCTGGTGTATCAGCCGCTCCTCCCAGTTTGGTGTCATCTGCAAACTTGCTAAAGGTACTACTCTGCCCCATCACCCAGCTCTTTAATGAAGAAGGTAAATGGGACTGGATGCAGCATGGACCCCGGGGGTACACTGCTAGTCAGTGGCCTCCACCTAGACTTTGCGCTGCTAATCACCACCCTCTGAGCCCAGCCAATCAGCCAGCTTTCCATTCACCTCACCATCTGCTCATCCAGCCCGTACATTAACACCTTATGGGAGACAGTGTCAAAGCCCTTTTTCTGAATTGCCTAACAGAAATTCTTGCTAAGACATACATACAGATGAACAAATCCTGCTACTTTTAAGGACTTTTTATAAAGTACTTAAAACCCCCCTTTTTGTTACTTTGTAAACGGAAATTAAACTAGAAAGTTCTCCCAGCATTACAAGGAATCACCTTTATGAAAACTGAGAGCAGATCATTCTAATCCACTTTATTACTTTACTAAGAATGATCTTAAGTCTGTCACAGTGATCTGCTTATGCATGCAATGCCTGCAGTAGCCCAGCTGGTCTGCCTCACGCAGATTTTGGAAGCCATAAGAGAGGGGTGCACAGACACCGAACAGTACATAGACATTTCACGAAATCAGAAAACAAACAAATAAAAATAAATTTGTCACCCAAAATTATCTGAACCTCAGTTTATCCCCAGATTGACCGAGGACTGACTGATCAAAAAGAATTTTGGTCTCTCTGTTAATTTATTTAATTATACAGACCATAATCAGCCTCAATGAACTGTGCCGATTTACAGCATCTGGTTTCAGCCCTAACACTAACCTCACCCTGCACTGTTAATAGATGCCACGCTCTGCAGGGAGGTGACCCAGACAGAGGGGCTGCACTTTGGCCGGGTCTGGCCTTCCCTCCTGCTGGGCTCGAGCCGGCCCAGCAGCAGCGCAGTGGCAGCACTGGGCGCTGAGCCCAGACACTGCCAGGAAGGGTGGGCGAATCACTCCCCAAGAACCCCATTCCAGTGCTTCCAAGGAAGGGTGGGCCTGTGCCTTGGTGGTCTCCTGTCACCTCGGATGCAGGGTAAGGATACTTTCCTGGGACCCAAGTGATGCCTGTTGAGCAGATTATTGAGAATTTTGGAATAGAGCAGAATAGTCCTCACTCGCAGGGGGGACACAAAATGGCGCAGCGAGCAGGGTCCGAGGATAACAGGGTAGAGGTTTATTTGGGTAAGCATGGGATTCCCCCCCTGGCCCTGCTTTGACAATGCTTGGGTCTGAGACTACCAGTCTGAGTGGCACCAGGTGAAAAGCCACACAGACCTGGCACAGTGAAAAGTTGAAGATGGAAAAGGTAAAGGCACCATCCATAAGATGCTGGGTGTATGCTATTATGCCAATTGTAATGAAAAGAAGTGATCGGAAGCCAAAAAGAGAACTGCTTGCTCAAACTGAAAGGTTACAAGGAAAGGTGCAAAGGCAAAAGATGCAGCTGATGATGCAAGGTTTAACTTCACAGAAACACAGAGAAAACAAGAAGACAGTAGAAGATAAAGCAGTACAGAAGGTCAGTGCTAACTTGGGAGAAACAGGGCAGAACTGTGTATGCCCTTAAAGAGCAGGCCCTAATACAAGATCCCAAGCACAAGGACAGGGACATTTCGAACAACCTCGATGAGGAGCCAGGTGACTGGCCAGACGATAGTGATGATACAACGCAAGAAGTCTTCCCCATTATCAACTGAAACCAGAAGGCTTACCTTGACATGCTCCGGTGCGAATATTAGGGATGAAGCCACGACGGCATGGCTGAGGCTGAGCAGGGCACATTTCACAGGGGTGACCCCAGGCACGCCCAATGGTTGCACAACAGAGGGTTTTTGTGCAAACAATTCCAGTTAGCTGGCCCTGACACATCTGGTTGTTAACCTGTGTGAAACATGGGCCTGTTCTGTAATCTGGAAAATATAAAAGATCACTGTATTATATAAGAGAGTCTACCAGTAACTACAGAAGGAATAAATTTTTAATTCAGTAGATACCTATATTAAGAAAATTCCAAGAGGACCTGGAAATCTAAGTTATGTTATTTCTTAGAGAAGTAGTATTACACCTTCTACTGAAGGTAACATTTCCACAAGGTTATCTTTTCTTCCAATTTATTTCTTTCTGATAGATGTAACTAACGAAAGGCAGCTGGACCTAAAATTGATCTGTGTGTTGACAATGTGTCCAGTAAAATCCATAATAAATGAGTTTTACGAACAAACAAGTAACCAATCAAAACAGCAGATCAGATTAAGCAAACAAGGACTAGGAACTGGTTTTCTTGTTCCTAAGTTACTTCATTGCGATTCATGGGAGGGAATTACAGACCACAGAAGCCATACTTTTGTTCGCTGCACACTGATCAAGGCTCATGCTAGCAACCATCATAGAATCAACATTCCTGATGGAATGCTTAGGGCAAAACAGTGCTACCTACAGAGGACTAACTGGTAAACCACAATTTATTTTCAGAGGAATAACATGACATAATACAACCTATTCAAGCTATACTGAGTACATTTAATACAATATACAAACTATATGAAAATATACTCTAGTCAAATTCTTGTAAATAGTTAGCTCATTAATGTTCAACCTGTATAATGAGAAATATTTTTTGACCTTATGGGGCAACACAAACCGGGAACAACAATTACCTGAAATTCTCTAGGAACAAACGAGAAACAGATGGTTGCTCTAAGCCAGATTTCATATCCTTATGGAAACTTTAAGTTAGGGGGAAAAAAAAGAAGAAAATGCAAAGCTTCCACTCAGACTCAGTCACATAAAAAAAGGCACAACAGTGAGGTTACACCTGCTGTCCCATCCTGTTCTCCTTTTTTTTCCTACTGAACACTGTCTTCCAAACTTTCATTAGTGTGCAATTCGTCTCACAATCAAGCTAAAATGGGACAATCAGTGCCTTCTAGAACTTGATACTTTCATCCTCAAGAATAAAACCAAGAGTTTTGACATGTTTGGAAAGGGAGAAAACGGTCTTCCCAGTGAGACTTCATTTTCTTTGCACTAAGGCACGAGACTTTTAAAATAAAAGCTAGCTCAAATAGAAGTCAATGTTCTGCTCCCTTTCTTTGATAAGGTTCCCAGGTACCAGTCTGGGAAAGACTCTTGCACAGACTGGCAGTTAATTTCAGCTGGGCTGTTCACTTTAAATAAAGTTAAGCAAGCAGATAAGTATCCACAACAAAAATGCCTAACAGTAAAAGGAGAGTAAAAGATCTTAAATATGCAGTAAGGACTGTGAATTTTCATCTTTCTTGATTTTCATTAGAAAATAATTTTCAATCACACCTTTGAGCTTCCCCTGTGTCCACCGAGCCACAAAGGTAGTCTAGTAAAATATGCACATTATAAAAAGAAGATCCTGTCCATTAGAAAAAGGTTCGCGTGATCTTTCATCCAACGTACTGGAAGGCAAGCAGCTTTATAACGGTCTCAGTTTCATCCCATCCAAAGTCCTTGCCAAATTGGAGAAAGCTGATTTTTTAACATAAATACAGATCCTGATGACTGATAGCAGAAGACACTGATCTCATCAAGCTATAGCCTCATATGAGAATGACAAATATTTGAAACACAAACTCCAACTATCAAAGATTTAAATTCCAGTAACTCACTGTAATCTTGTCTGGATTTTAGTTAAGTGGTAAGGATAGGGAATAGACTCCACCACAGATTACAACTATACAGTTCTTTCACATAAAGTTTACTCAGATGTCACAAAGATTGAAGGGAATACATGACAGACTGCATTCACCTGCAAACCATCAGCAACAGTCAGCCTGATGAAAGAAGAAAACCAGAACTGCTCAGAATTTAAGAACTGAAAGAAATGGAATTAAATCCTTACCCTGGTAAAAACAAATGAGAATTTGACTACTGAATTCAATGACACTATTTCATTCTTGGAAAACAGTATTGCGCTTTTCAGCAAATAGCTGTATTGTAATTTATTGCCTAGTATTATCTGTAAAAGCATTCTTTATGTCATGCAGCTAAAGCGATGGGCTTCATATGCATGGAAAAAGATTTTACTACTGCTTAATGAGCAGACACCCATTCTAATGTCGCTCAAGTTACATACACCGCTAATCCAACAGTAATACAAACAATTAAAAAGAGTCTGTTAATTTCATTTTCTCATTAATGACAGAAGTACAAACAACAGGCAGATTCTGGGAAAGTCTGTGGGTCTGTTCTATGTATTGACAGCCGCTTCTTTGACTGTAACCTGCACATTGCAGAATTTTTGCCCAAGTGGTGACTGCAGTCAGACCAATAACGTCTAGGCTTTCCTGAAAATTTAGTTTAGACTCCTCATGAATGAAACGCTCAAAAACATGAAGCTGAAAAAGACCAAAAGAACGTGTGTGGGTAAAACCTGAAAAGATCATTTACAAGCCACTAGCAACACTGAGAGTCCCATTAGAAAACAGAGTCACTAGCAGAAGAAAGTAAATTTCCAGTAGTGCAAGGCAGCACAATCTTTCTGGATCTACACAGATCTGTATGGGAATACCAAATCCTGTCCCACTTCTGAAGTTGTATTCTGCATCAGCCCAGGTAGTCACACATCTTTTCCTGGAGAGCTACTCTATCTGCAATTCCTCTGCAGAACTTAAGCCTGATGGCTGGTCATGCATTTCTTACTCCATGCAATCAAATGAAGTGCAGTTCTTCACAAGGGAATGCCCCTATAATGAAATCAAATAATGATTTATTATATATATCTAAAATTTCCAAAGCTTGCATTCACCAAGACTGATAATCTTGATCTCCCATCTCACTCTGGAATTCCTATTCAGAAAATAAATAGTTCTACTGGACAGTATTTTATTTGTATAGTATCTGTTCTCCAAGGTACACTTTTTAATAGGACCAGTCTCTGGACAATATGAAGCAGTTACAGCAGCAGTAGAAATACAAATTATGTATTCTTCTGTGTAATTGTTCATGATCCACAAGAATATTCTGGCCAAAGATCTTCAGGTTCAGAATTCAATCAGACAAGATTGAACTTGGAACTTAAACTTGAGTTGTGATTGTATCTGAGTTCCATTACCTTCCCATAAGACATAAGATGTGTATACGCTGTCAACCCTAGTAATGAAAAGTTCAGTTTGGAGAGTGTGTTTGAAAGAAAGCTTAGAGAATATAACCAGACTACAAAGAGTGTTCATGGAAGAGAATATGAATGAGTTACATAGAAGAAGGAGTGATACTAATACACCCATTGCTTAATATATCCTATTAAGTAAGAAACATATGCTCTGGAAACCTATATATGTATGTACCCATGCCTTAATAAACAAAGAATGCATAAATCACAATGTTCATGCTCTATAACCAAGCAACTTCCATCAGTGTAAGTCTGCAGGAGGGCACCTAAAAATCTGACTACTGCAACTTAAACAGTAGAAGAAGAAACAAAACTATTATTAAACTTTCAAGCAGATTTACAAATAAAAATAAATTCAACCCAAAATGCTGAGATCCTGAATGATACTTTAGAACAATGACATATAAGCAACAGATCCTGAGGTCCTAAAAGACTATGCAGCTTATATCACCTTGGGCTACAGACATCACAAACCTAGCAGCAGACCATTTCCAGATAGCAACAGGAAGTAACCTGCTATCTGCATCCAGCAAGAGTGGCTCTTCACACAGCTATGACAACTGCATTTCAAACAGGGTACAGGAAAACTTGAAAAATTATGCAAAAGAGTCAGAAGAATAATTTAAGATTTCAGAAACATGCTTCATAGTAATATTAATGTTTAAAAAAAAATGTAATTAAAAATATTATCCATAACAAATATATCCATTTTAAAAATCTTTATCCATTCAGTTTATCCAAAACAAAGTCCAAAGGTAAAGAATCTGAGTAGTGGCTGGTCTTCTCTGCCAAGCGGAAAACTTCAGATTTTACAATATGAAGTGAAGGTAGGAATGTTCAGGCTAATAGTAAAGTACAGCTGTTTACATAAAGGTCTCTAGTCACATAGTATATTTTTACTTTTGGGAAGCAAACGTACTAAAACTAGATGCCATTCTGAAGACACCCTGCAGTTTCAAATGAAGCTGTGGATTTGATTCAGAAATTACCATGTGGGATTCTATGGTCTGTTTCATACAGTCAGACTATATTACTATAATGGTTCATCTGACCCTAAAAACCCAGAGTTTATGAATGAATCATCTTTTCTATACTAGTTTTCTAGTCTTATTGTTAGGTGTTTCTTCGTTTGTTCCTTTCCCAGGATTGCTCCCAGTATAATCTTGCCAAAAAGAACGTATGTTAGAACACGTTCTAAATAATTTGTTGCTTAGAAAATGTAACTGCTTTGGTGAAAGAAAGTGATTTTCAGCACATACGTGTTATGCATATTTTTTTTCCACCTCAGAAGACCACACTCAATATGCACCATGACTTGAAGAAGGTCTGTAATGGGATCAGTGCTGTTTAATAACTTCATCGATGACAGAGATGGTGGTATCAGTACAACCTCAGTAAGTCTGCAGACAACATGAAGCTGAGTGGTGTGGCTGACATGCCTAAGGGACGGGATGCCATCCAGAGATACCTGGACAAGACTGAAAAGTGGGACTACGTGAACGCCATGAAGTTCAACATGGCCAAGTACAAGGTCCTGCATCTGGGTCAGGGCAATCCCCAGCATCAATGCAGGCTGGGGGATGAAGGGATTGAGAGCAGCCCTGTGGAAAAAGGACTTGGGGGTGCTGGTGGATGGAAAGCTGGGTATGAGTTGGCAATGTGCAAATTGCATCCTGGGCTGCATCAAAAGGTGTGCAGCCAGCAAGTCAAAGGAAGTGATTCTCCCTCTACTCTCCTCTGGTGAGACCCCACCTATGGTACTGCA